TTCCCACAACAGGAGCCACAGGGCACCTCCAGCAGAACTCGGCTTACTAGTTCCTAAAATGCCCATTATGTGCTTAATGGCTGAACCGCCGGCAAATTGCCACTTAGAATCAATCAAGTCTTCCGTTTAATTAGCTCATTACAATGCAGCTGCCATCTGAAGGGGTCACAGGTGACGGGGAGAGCCACCCACAGGCCCGGCCAGTCTCTGGCCAGCCAGGCTCTTGAAGAATTCCCAACCAGAGACCCCAGCCTCTCGACACTGTCCCCCTCCCTCCTGACAGGGCTGGGTGGCAGCCGTGTGCCAAACCTGGAAGGAACAGCTCCCACGGGGGGCCAAGCTGCACACCTGCCAGCTGGGAGCCCCGAACAAGGGTCCCGGGGCTCCCCCCACTGCCGCCTGCCTCGCTCTCGGCCCACAGGACAAGGACAGCATCATCCCACCCCGATCAGTAGCTCTCGTGGGCCCATCCGAGGCAGAAGGCTGATTCCGCATCAGCAAATGCAGGGCAAGTGAGGCCGGGTCCCGACAGGACAGAGAAGCGCCTGGCAGGCGGGCCGATGGTACAGGAAGGGGAAGGGACCCCACCGGGCCGAAAATGTGACTCAAGAAACAGAAGGAAAGTCCCCACAGAGCTTACATCCCAGGAAAGTGTCAGTGCAAACGCAGACATTCCAGGGGGGACGGAACAGGGAAATGGTTCAGGAGTGTTTTCGTGGGGAAACACGTGGTGTGAGATCAGAGGGGTGACTGCGTAAGCGCGGGAGCAGGAGCACTTAGCGTGAGCAGCTGCCCACGGGAAGGTCTGAGAGATTGCCACGGGTGTGGGGGCCACAGGGACCAGACGACAGGTGGGGCCGGGGTGGGCCGTCTGGAGAATGAGCAGTACGGTCTGGGGGCCACCGACCCCAGAGGGGAGCTTCCCTTGTCGGCCAGGCGCGCGCCACCTTCTGCCCCGGGGTCAAGGACTGCACTGGGTGTGGGCTGTGGACGCACACCTGAGACGGGCCGCCACGGCGGGCGGTGGGGAGTCTGCAGGAAGCCGCCCCACACGGAGGGACCAAAGGGACACCCCAGCACTAAGGGAGACGGGAGTCAGCGTGAAGACCTGTCCTTGCTGCGGGGCTGTCCTCCCGGACGGAAGGGTTCTCCCAACAGACGGACCAGACAAGCAGACTGGTGCCCGTCGGGGTGAGCTACAGAAAACCCAGGCCACCCCGTTCCCTGCTCTGTGCTCGCTCAGAGCCCCAGCGTGTGCGACCCCAGGACCCCACCCAGCGGGCTGGTCCTGACACAGGCCGCCGCAGGAAGACGCGAGCCGGCGGGGGCAGAGAAGGAGCTGGAAGGGCGGTGTGATCGCAGAGAAGCGAGGGAATTCGGGAGCTGACGTCGGTGTGGGGGACTCTGAGGTTAGGCGAGTCCTTCCGTTTCACAACAATTTTTGAAAGATTTTCTTTGCTAAAACCAAGTGGAACGTTACAAGTGGGTTAGGAAACCCGGACGTACAAATGCCTTATTCTAGAGCACTGAACTCAGAAGCCATGAAAGCAAGGCCGGCAGGTTTCCCTACGCGGACGTCTGCGCCACCGAAACTGCACAGGAAGGGAAAACGTGAGCAACAGCACCTCGACCTCGACAGTGAGGGGACCAGCCCCGGGCACGACAGGCCTCGCCCCCGGGCGAGGGAGCAGCGCGTGCTGGGAACAAGCAGCTCGCAGAGAAAGGACGGACTGTCCCCCAGGTGCGGGCAGATGCTCACAGCTCCCTCAGAATAGGACAGTTACACCAAAGCCGCCAGCAGACGCCGCTGCTCGCCTGCCCGGCACACGGGCAGCTGTGTCCCCCACATGGGCAGCTGTCACAGGTGCATGTCTCGGTCTCGGACATGCTCTGGACTGAAACGCACAGGCCTGCCAGCCACCCAGCAGCCCACGCTCACACGGTGTGTCCAGCATCGGGCGGGGCGCCGGAGGTTGGACATCCGCGCCTGTCTGCCGTACCGTGTGTGTGCTTAGGGTTCTCGGTGAGTACAAAGCTCCGGCTCTCTCTCTGTCCACTTCCAGGGCTGACTTTGGAGCGGGAGCGCCGGGTCTGAAGTCAGCTTGTCTCTCATCCACCCGTTTCCCGAGTTAACGAGATTGTCTGGTGACGGCTGCCACACAGGGACGCGCCTAAGAGCTGGGCCCTGCTGTCCACGCCATGTCCTCCTGTTGGACAAGCCGGGTCCCAGGCACCAGCGGCAAACTGACCAAATCAGGATCCCGTGTGAATCTCTACCTTGGGGAGAGACTGTGACTAAAGCCTGAATCCTCAGCAGCGTGACCCGAGCCGGCTCTGGGCCTTTCCAGCAGTCCGAGTGCATTTGGTGCCCCCAGCCTGACGCCACCCATGGTGCTCAGAGCTCGTGAGGACACGCTGTGGACCCCATCCTCAGAGAGGCCCACACACCAGTGCTGCTCGGTAGCCAGCCCGGAGAGGCAACGTCCTGACCCTGGAGAGGCGAGAGGGGCATTCAGGAGCTTGTCACAAGTGTGACCCCTTGTGCAGCCCAGCCAGGGGGCACACCTTCTAGAAAGCAGAAGCGTGGTGGGCAGTACAAGGAGCCCCGTGGCCTTGGGTTTGCAGACAGTCATGGGGGCAGGAGAGGGCATGGCGTCCACCCCAGAGAAAGGCACCCCTGCCAGCCGCCCTGCCGAGGACAGAGATGCAGGCCAAAGCTGAGCGCGACCCCAAGAGGGCCCCGCCTGCAGGACCACCGGCTCTGGACAGGGACCAGGGGCTTCGTTAACACAGCTTCTGGACGCCAAGCCCACTGGGACAGGGGGAGTTATGAACCCGGCTGTCTCTGGACATGATCAAATGAACAGAGAGGCTCCCAACAGAGGGGACTCGTACCCCAGACCTTGCTGTGACAGCCCCGTGCTGGGGTCTGTTAGAAAGCAGAGCCCTTGCAGCCTGGGGTCTGCAGCAGGGCCCAGACTGGCAAGGGCTTCTGGTGCTGCTCCCTTTCCTCCCAAAGCATCGAGGAGCCCCCCGCAACAGGCTTGCTGGCTGTCAGCCCCTTGAGCCCACCCCTGGGGTACTATGTGCCGTCAAGGACCGGGGTCTTGTGCCGGCTGTGTGTGAGGAGAGCCAGGCCCGGGGAGCCCAGTGCTGGACACCTGTCCTCCCCAGCCCACCCCGTGCCCCTTCCAGGCTCAGAGCCCGCTCTGCCTTCAGGCAGGCAGAGCCAGGACGCCCCAGTGAGGCCAAAGCCTCAGGATGTTTTCCTGCGACCAGCTGGCGGCCCTGAGGGCTTCTAAGGAACCTGCCATCCGTCACTCTGGGCAGCCACTGCCTCATGCCATTTGTCACACTTGCCCCGGTGTGGTTTGGTCATTGTCAGTCACGTGGCAGTGTCAAGGTGCTGGCTTCCTGGGGCCTCCCCCGCCGGCCTCCTGGGAGGCTCTGTCTTGGGGACGCTGTCTTCACCTGAGCAGTGTGAAAATTTTCAGAAGGAAGAACAGAAGTTGACGGGATACAGGGAGTGAGGCCATGGCGGGGATCCAGGAGAGCCAAGAGCCTTCAGGACATGGGGGGGCAGGAATGCCCAGCAGATTCTCAGATCCCAGAAGCATTAACCCCTTCTGCCTCCACACGCAGAGGCCTGGTCCTTCCCAGAGCACAGTGACCAAGCGTGTTGGTGACACTGGGGCACACTGAGAAGGGTCTGTGCGGGCCTCTGGCACTCTGCTTCAGCAGATGTGGGGGACCATGCAGGAGGGACAGAACAAGCCCTCAGGGAGTCTCCTCCAGAGCCAGCATCCGACCCCCATGATGACCCCAGCGTTCAACAGGTCAGGGAGGGAGAGCAGCGCTCAGGCAGGCAGCCTGGAGGGAAGGGCAGGTGAGACCAGAATCCCCCGGGCCCAGTGGGCCAGCCCCCCAAGATAGGCCGGGTCAGCGGGCAGCTGGGACCCCTCAGAGGACAGCCCTCCTTTGACTTTCCAAGAAGGCTTCTCCATGCACAGAACCTTGGCGAATGGGAAGGGAATTACCCCAAGTCTCCCAGAGGCCGCTGGAGCCAGGCTCTCTGGTCTGCATCCCGGTCGTGGTGATGTCAGGGTCAACATCAGGGTTCTTCTCACTGCTCCCCTGAGTCTCCAAACAGAAGAAATGGCCTCCCATAGGCCTATGGGGCTGGCTTGCTCAACCCTGGGGCCCCGCTGTCTCCTCCACCCCTGCAAGCTCACACAGCGGCCGTGGAGCTAGTGTCTGTGGGGGACCCGCGAGACCCTGACCCCGAAAGCTCTGTTCCCAGGGACCTATGTCCTCCGGAGAGCCAGGAAGGGGCTGGTCCCCCCAAGGCAGGGAAATGCCACCAGGCCTCAAGCCAGGCACGGGCTCCAGCACCTCCAGACGAGCTGGATGAGGTCGGAGGGACGATGGTTGCAGCAGGCAGCCCTGTTCAGAGGGCCAGAAGGGGCCATGTGGGGCCTGGGGGCTGTGGGTGCCCTGGGCTCTGCCCCCCACCTCAGGCCTCCTGTTCTCAGGACCTGGAGCTGCCCCTCTGGACTGACTGTGTCACAGGAGGCCGTCCCTTCCTCTGAGCCCACCTCCTCACCAGTCTCCTGGGCTGCCCAGGGGAGTGGTGAGACCCCAGGGCAGGTGTCCCTGGGCCCTGGCCCCGAGGGCACCGCTGACTGGGGCCAGAGGGAAGCATCCACAGACCCAGATGTCCGTCCTGTGAGCTGGCAGAGCTGCCAGGCTGCTGGCCTGTGCGTCCACAGAGCCCCCCCCAGCAGACCCCGGAGAGGTGGCTGGCTTGACCCCTCCCAGGTGTGAGCAGGGAGGCCCAGGAGGTGGGTCTGTCCCCAGCAGAGCCTTCCAGCCCCGAGGGCCTGTAGCTGCTGCTTTTCCAGAAGGAAACCCGCCTGTGGGGGAGGGGCCTGCAGGGGCCCTGGACCCGCCCAGTGCCACGTGGAGGGGTCCCTGTGCCCTGACCGCCCCCTCCCCCACAGGTTTCCATCTGTCGCACAAGGTCACCAGCGTCGTCCCCGAGAGCGCGCTGCTCATCGTCTTGGGCCTGGTGCTGGGCGGCATCGTCTGGGCCGCTGACCACATCGCCTCCTTCACGCTGACGCCCACCGTCTTCTTCTTCTACCTGCTGCCCCCCATCGTGCTGGACGCCGGCTACTTCATGCCCAATCGGCTCTTCTTTGGGAACCTGGGCACCATCCTGCTGTACGCCGTCGTCGGCACCGTGTGGAACGCGGCCACCACCGGACTGTCCCTCTACGGCGTCTTCCTCAGCGGCCTGATGGGTGAGCGGGCATGGTGTCCACGGGGGTGTTCTGGGGTGGTGGATGCTTGGGACAGGGTCATCCTCGGGGTGGGGTCCTCGGGGTGGGGTCCTGGGGGGTGTTCTCGGGGTGGGCTCTGCAGGAGCAGGGTGTGGGCAGCCCTGCTGAAGGAAGGTCAGATACACACAGTCCAGACCCGGAAAGGGTGAGTGTTTGGGGTGACGAACCTCACTGGTGGGTTCACTTACCACCTTGGTATGTTAAAAAGAAGGTTTAATTAGTAAACAACAAGCTGTCTGGGCATCTCTGGGCTGAGGCTCGTGTCCTGCTTGGGAGTGAAATCCTGTCCGACCAGGTTAGCAGGTGGGCAGGTGGGTGGGACGGCCGAGCAGCTGCCCCTCCCCGCAGGTGGGGTTGGGGCTCACTTCCCTGCACCAGCACCCGGGGTGGGGACGGCGCTCTGGCAGAGGCCAGGTTGAGGGTCCCTGGTAGACACACACCTGAGCACAAAGATTGGGTCATTCCCCCCAAGCCTGCAGGAGAAGCCTCGCCGGTGGCCGCTGGGTCACGGGGTCTGTGCGTCCACAGCAGCTTCCCCAGCCTGTGCCTCCTGCCATCCATGTTCTTAACCCTGGCCAAGAGCCGAGCGGCACCCCACCCACCAGGGCGTGAGCCATTATCCACCTGGGAAACTAGAGCAGGCGAGGCCGGGGCTCCCCCAAGGCCTGCACGGGAGAGCACGGCCCACGCTGGGGCTGTTGCCCATCCACGACGTGGGTCTGCAACGCGAGCTCCTGGCGTTGGTGGCGACCATGGAGAAGCGGGTGTTGGCACCTGGATGCCCGTCTGTGCGCTCAGCCTTGGCCCCAAACATCCTACCTGTGTGGACCAGACTCCTAGGGGTGGGCCCGGACAGTGGTTTCCATGTGACTGAAGGAAGTCTGTACATCGCTCCCCGTGGGGCTCAGGGCCTTGGGGCCTTGGTGACAAAGGACATGCACAGAGAAAAAGAGGTCAAAGGGCCCCGGTGGGAATTGTCGCCTCACCTGGCCCACGTGCCATCACAGGACTTTGTCCACAGCCCGTGGGAACTTGCACGCCCCTTTGAGTCTCCGAGGCTGTTTGGCACCATCCCTAGGCCTGACCCGGAGAACTCCCCAGGGTGATGTGAGGCTGAACGCGCCCGGCCATACCTCATGGGCGAGGAAGACTCCGGTGCTTTTGGTTGCGTCTATCGGCAACACCTTTAGATAGCTGGGCTGTAGCTAAGACGACAGGACCACTCCGGCCCCTGGACCCAGGGGAAAGTCCCAGGGTTTGGACCAGTAGGCCCTGAGGGGGCCTGTGCTCAGCTCTCGGGACGCAGCTGGCCGAGGGAGGGCATCCGGCAACGTCCTGGAGCAGAACAGCAGGGGACAACAAGTCTGTCCTGTCGCCAGACTTCCGGAGCCGGAGCCTGCTGGGGCTGGGGAGCTTGGGCTGTTTCTGCAGACCAGCAGGCGGGCTCTGAGGTGCGGCTCAAGGCCAGGGAGCACCCGCCGAGGAAAGGTCAGCTTAGCCCAGGCTACGGGTAGGCCCGGCAGTGGGGATCTTGGGTGGACCTCTGGACAGGCCCGCAAGGGGTTGGCCCTGCAGAGGTTCCAGGCTGTCAGTCAGAGAGGCCCCGTCAGAGGGGTGTGAGCTGAGGCCTTCTTGGCTAAGGGTCCTGGAGCCCACAGCTGGTCGTCGGGAGCCCACAGTCCAGTCTGGCCCCGGAAGAGTCTGTGGGTGATGGACTGTCCCACCCAGGAGGAGAGCAGGCTGCTCCTAGAGCTGGGGCACTTGTTGCCTGGACGGCTGGCTTCTAGAATGGACCACCGGTCTGTCAGGGCCTGTGGACGCTGAGAGGCCATCAAGCCGGGAGGCGTTTAAGGAAGGAACACCTCAAAGCGGGATGTGCCTCTGGGAGCCCCTGGCATCTGAAGGCAGAAAGGACTGTTCCCGCCTCCGCCTCACCCACAGCATCTGGAGGTGGGAGAGTGAAACCTGAGAGTCCCCTTCCAAAAGGGACATTTTAAAGTCACTGGAAGCTGGTTCTAACCTCTACCTCCACTTCAACACCCAGACTGTGGCACTAGGCTGTGGGGTTTTCAGAGCTCACAGGAACCCCCCCTCCAGGGTCCTCCCTCTCCATAGACTCAACCTTCTCTCAGGGGCCCTGCCTGGCCCTGAGGTGGAGCCACGTTCCTGCGGAAGCCCGCCGTCCTGGACCTGGAGGCAACCCTTGGTCCTGAACAGGCAGGCGTCCAGCCCACACGGTTTCCACCTTCCCCACCCCGGTGGGCCTCTGCCACGGCCTAGGCCTGACTGCCCCCTGGGGTCTGTTTAAGCCCACTCAGCCCGGAGAGGAGGTCTTCCTCCAACCAGCCCCCTGAGCGCAGGTGTGTGTCTCGAACAGAGCTGGTACAGGCAACCATGGGCGGGTCCCTGAGCTTTTGTCCAGGGAGGACAGCTGCTGGGGTGTGCCTATCACCCAGAGTGGCTCTGGAGACTGAGTTGGACCTGGAAGGACAGAGAAGTTGGAAAGTGCCTCTCGGCATGACCCTGGGACCACTGTAAGAAGCGAGTCAGGCTGAGCTCTGAGGACCTGCCCTCCCGGGTCCCTTCCTCTCCCTCCCTCCTCTCCCTTCTTCCTCAGACATACCTGGAAACCCCTCCTGTTGGAGGCCCCAGGGTTTCCCCAGACCCTGTGAGGCCTGACCCTCCCTGGCCTCCATCTTTCTCCTCCCCTCAGGCTTGTCCTGGTGGCTCTGATCCGGGCTGAGAAGCCACTTCACAGGGAGGCCGTCCCCCCGCCCCCCGTCAAGCCCCAACCGCCTCCAAAACACTTACACCCCTGTGGCCCCGGATAGCAGACGGTCAAGGGCAGGGCTCTGATGCCGTGCTGGGCCTGGCCAGGCACCCCCAGCCCCTCATCTGCTTGTAGCAACCTCCCAGAGGGGAGCAGCCAGGCCCAGGGGAGGGGAAGGGAAGAAGCAGGGCTGTCAGTCCCCACTGGGGTGAGACCCACTGTTCCGGAAGGCTGTGGGAGCCCCTGGGAGGGCAGCAGGCAGCGTGACCCAGGTTATCAGATCTGGCCGACCCCAGAGCTAAGAGAATCCAAGTCCCCGTCCTGAGAGGCCTCCAACCGAGCCGTCAGCAGGGCAGCGGTCCGAGGCAGCCCCCCAAGGCCGAGGGGAGGAAGCGTCCATGGCTCCGAGGTCCTCGTTCTTTCCAGGCCCTGAAGGGCTCTCACTGACGGCGCCGCTGTCTCGCAGGGGACTTGAACGTCGGGCTGCTGGACTTCCTCCTGTTCGGCAGCCTGATTGCCGCCGTGGACCCGGTGGCTGTCCTGGCCGTGTTCGAGGAGGTGCACGTCAACGAGGTCCTGTTCATCATCGTCTTCGGGGAGTCGCTGCTGAATGACGCCGTCACTGTGGTGAGCGGGTGCCGGGCGGGCTCTGGGGCTTGGCACAGAGCATCTCAGAGCTGCCAGTAGGGAGGACAGCGGTCACTCTGTGACCGCAGCGGCCCTCGGTGGAGAGGGCCGAGGAAGCTGCCGGGAGGACACACGGAGGCCGGGCCCGTGTGAGGGGCCGGATCGGCTCGCAGCTCCCACCGCCAGTTCTCCCGTGCCAGGCCCTGGCCCACGACCTCCCTTGCCTCACAGAGAGGGACTCGTCCCTCTCCCGCCTCGTCCGTTCTCCCGCCTTCGGGGCAGCCATCTGTCAGCCCCACCGCCCGGGTCCCAGAGCAGGACGCCTCTCTGGGTCCAGACTCGATGCCGCCCGTTCCCGAGTCCCCAGAGGGAGCCGACGGAGAGGAGAACGGCAAGACCTCCTCAGAATGAAGGAAGGAAGACGGGCGAGCATGGGTCTTGTGCGCGAAGGCCACTCTCTCTTTAGGAGGGAGCGTGGCGGGTCCCCTGCGGGCGGGCAGGGACTGGAGGACCCTCGCTCGGCTTCGGTGCGAGGCCGCAGGCGCCGCAGTCGGAGCAGAGGCGTGACAGAACGTGGGGGTGCATCTCAGCAGCCCAAGGCTCGGAATTCTCGAAATCCAGCCCTGATCTGGGCCACGCACTCCTCCGTGCGAGCGAGCTCTGGGTGACGGAGTGCCCTTCCCACGCAGGCCAGCCACGCTGTGTCTCCCGCAGCTGCTCTGGGCCCGGGCGCGTGGCCCCACCAGCCCCTCACCTCGTGCCGGGGCTTTGCACGCACAGCAGGCTACGAAGATCTGTCTGTAGCAGTGGCGTCTCCAAGGAACCCCCTCTCCGGTCCCATCAGTGTTCAGGAGACTGGGAAGTCCTAAGGCTGTGCTGCACCTGATTTCTAATGCAGCAGAGAAGAGGTTCTCGGGAGAATGGGGGATTAATTTGGAACTTAATCAGAAACGTAACCCACAGCCCCTCAGACGTTGTGCTGCTCTGTGCCTTGGCCTCGCTTCTCTGTGGAAGCACGAACGCCGGCCGAGCCCCGGAGCTCCCCACACAGCCCTACTGGAGGCTTCCTCTCCCCCGCTGCATTTCCGTGGAGACACCAGAGCCGGGGTCCAGCCCTCAAGGGCCCTGGAGGCCCAGGCTCTGCCCCCCGACCAGTACATCCTCAAGCCCGCCATCCCTCCTGCTGCACACCCTGCCTTTTGGGGTCCTAGGCCCCCTGAAGCAGACCTGGCGAGGCGGGCTTGTGGCCCACAGCAGCCCCTCGGCCCGGCTTGTGGAGCAGCGCGTCATCAGGAGGCCCGGGCAACACAGCAGTGCCAGGCTGAGCCTGGCATGTGGTTGTTGAGCTTTTCATCTCGAATATCTTGATGGGTTACAGTTTAAATGAGGACATGCACGTCCTGTCCCACGACCAGGAGTCAGCGCAGTTGTAAAGTCACGAAAAACGAAATTCTGGCTTCATCTAGGAAAACAAAACAGAGTTTTTGGTGGGGGACTTTGTGCTTTGCTGAGTGCCAGAAAAGGCCAGGTTTGCTCCTGAAGGTTCTAGTTCCTTCTGGAAGGTTCTTCTGCCTCTCCCATCCCACCTGTTGGCTCATCTCTGGCCTTTGTCTTATTGATCATGTTGCCCCATGACGGTTTCCTCTCACTGAATTTTGGTGGCTGCCCCAGGCTGCTCCATCCAGCCCAAGTGCTCAAGGCCTGGGGCCCGAGTCAGGGAGGGTTGACCCGATGTCATGCTTGTCTCTCTGTCACCCCCAGGTCCTCTACAACGTGTTTGAATCTTTCGTGACGCTGGGTGGTGACAAGGTGACTGGCGTGGATTGCGTGAAAGGCATAGGTGTGTGGCTGGTGGGTCCATGCATCTGGGGACTGTGGGGGCCATATCTCCTCTCCAACATGGGGACGACCTCCAGGCTTTGGCACCAGGCCTGCCTCTGGGACCCACAGCCTGTGTAGGAAAAGGCATTTCCACTTGAAGCTTCAGTGAGAGTTCCCTCCTGTCCCCACTGTGTTTCAGGCACACAATTTCGTTGGGTCCTGGGGAGGCAAGGGCTGCTGTCCCATGAGACCAGCATGTCTGGTTGGAGGATGCGGACCTGGTGTCCTCCGCGGCCCTGAGTGAACATTTCTCTGGCCAGGGACAATGGCAGTCTGGCTGTCCTGGGCGCCCAGGGACAAGCCCGCCCGCAGCTGCCTTCTCGGGCTTTCTCCAAGATGGGTGAGGGGTCCGGCCTCCCTGCTCTCCACGTGCCTGCCGGCCTCTCGGGAGGACTGGCCTCTTGTTTGCCAAGTTGTTGGCGCCTCTGTAGGGTTACCAGGCAACCCACGGTGAGGAATGGTCTGGAAGGACGGCCGGCCGCGCCCACGCGGGCCAGCCGCGCCCGGCCACAAAGGGCCTTTCAGGCGGTTCAGCTAGAGCCCTCGCCCGCAGTGTCCTTCTTTGTGGTGAGCCTGGGCGGCACGCTGGTGGGGGTCGTCTTCGCCTTCCTGCTCTCGCTGGTGACGCGCTTCACCAAGCACGTGCGCATCATCGAGCCGGGCTTCGTGTTCGTCATCTCCTACCTGTCCTACCTCACGTCCGAGATGCTGTCACTGTCCGCCATCCTGGCGTGAGTTCCCCACACGCCCACGGCCCAGGCCGCCACAGCTGCACAGTGTCCGGCGCCGCCGTGCTGGCGTGCGGGGGCCGGGGGGGAGGGAAGGGGAGGGGGAGGGGCAAAGGGGGGAGGGAGGGGCTGTCCCTGTCCACCCTGCCACTTGCTGGTATGCGGGGGAGGGAGGAGGGGGACGGCCCCTCCCTTCCCAGGGCACTGCCCTCCTGGTCCTCTCCGGCCTGGCCCGCTTCCCTGTGAGGGGCGAGCACTCACTCTGGGGGTGAAGAATCTGGTCTATTCAGGTTTTAAACCAGGAGTTGGCGTTTTCACAGAGCTGTCCTTGAGTTCTGCCTACACACAGCCTCTTCTGGGTGCCCCAGGCAGGAGGCTGGCCAACACCCTGTGACCCAAATCTGCCCCAGCAGCCCCCTCCCACTCAAGAGCCAGCTGCCGCGGGAGTGTGGAGGACACTGGGGCAGCCCACTGAGTGGCTCAGGGCTCAGGTCTTGGGGTGCGGGGAGGCCCAGCTCCGAGCCAAGGGTCGGTCAGTGCGGGGGGTGCACGCCCAGGACCCAGGCCATGGCCCCATGCAGACGGAGTCTCGGCACCCAGGCTCACAGTGCGCTCATACCATCCCCAGCATCACCTTCTGCGGCATCTGCTGCCAGAAGTACGTGAAGGCCAACATCTCAGAGCAGTCGGCCACCACCGTGCGCTACACCATGAAGATGTTGGCCAGTGGGGCCGAGACCATCATCTTCATGTTCCTGGGCATCTCAGCCGTGAACCCCCTCATCTGGAAGTGGAACACGGCCTTTGTGCTCCTGACCCTGGTCTTCATCTCTGTGTACCGGGCTGTTGGTGAGGGTGCTGGGGGATGGTGGGGACGAGAGGGCATGGGGGACGATGACAGGGATGCCGGGGAGATGGGGAGTAGAGGGGAGTGGGGAGGACGGGGAGGAGGGGACACAATGGGGGATGGGGAGGAGGGGGACGAGGCACCATGACAGGGATGCTAGGGGGATCCACGTGTTGGAGGGTGAGGGTCGATGGGGGGGCAGTGGGGATGGAGAGGAGGGTGGAAGTTGGACAGTGGGGACCGGCTGTGGGGAGGCTGTGGAGGGTTTGGGGGTCCCTGGGGAGCCGCAGCATGGCCAGGTCATGGTTATCTGCAGTGAAGTTTCAGGCTTGCTTCCTGGCCTTGTCACCTTGAGGTGGTCATAGCATAGGTGGAGGGCAGGGTGGAAAGTTCTAGAACCTAGGGGAACCCGTTTGGTTTCCCCTTGACTCACTCTGGATGTCATCGTTGAGGAAGCCGATGGAGTCTCCCGTGAGGTAGGGGGCCTGCTGCCAGCTGTGACCCTTGTGGCCCACTATTGGGGTACGGGCTGGGGTGGGACCACCACCCGCTCTTGGCCTGTCCTCAGTGGGGGCCACCAGAGTGAGACAGGGTCAGTGGTCCTAGGACACGAGGCCTCCTTTGCCACCTGGGTCACAGGGCAGGTCGGACCCGCGGCCGGCAGAGAGCAGGTATGCAGGGAGGGGGTTGTGTGGAGAGCAGGGCCGCGGGGCGCATTCTCCTGACAGGCTCAGCAGGAGCCGGCACCCTCACTGCCACTGCCCTGAGCAGGGGATTCGAGGAGGGGGCGAGGTGGCTCCCGGAGAGTGGGGGCGTGAGGGTGGGGAGCGCTCAGTGCATCCCTGCCGGCAGGTGTCGTCCTGCAGACCTGGGTCCTGAACCGGTACCGGATGGTGCAGCTGGAGATCATAGACCAGGTGGTCATGTCCTACGGCGGCCTGCGCGGGGCCGTGGCCTTTGCTCTGGTCGTCCTCCTGGATGAGAAGAAGGTGAAGGAGAGGGACCTGTTTGTCAGCACGACCCTCATTGTGGTCTTCTTCACGGTTATCTTCCAGGTACCTGGGCGCCCGCCCCGCCCATCCCCCCGACGGCGCCAGGCCGGCCCTATGCGGGGACCAGCCTCTCTAGCCTCCAGGCCCTAATTGCTTTTTACTGTTTTAGTAACTAGGAGCCGTTTTGTAGGTTTTCCTGTGGCCCCACAGGGGATGCAGCACGATTTGGTCTAAAAATGTCCTTCCTGTGCTGCCCCGGCTGGCGAAGCCCCAGTTAATATTTCGTGGACCAGACGCGCACGGGGGCGTGTCCCACTTCCCCGCTTGCTCTTGGACAATCTAAGGGAGCCGACTGGGGGCCCTCTGAGCAGGGTCAGGTCCGTGCGCACCGGCGGGTGGCTATGGACTCACACTCTGGGGCTCCGTGGGCTGGGTGGGCCCCCCGGGCTGGAGCCTGCCTGCCTGCAGGGCTGACCCCCATCTTCCAGGGCCTGACCATCAAGCCCCTGGTGCAGTGGCTGAAGGTGAAGAGGAGCGAACACCGGGAACCCAAACTCAATGAGAAGCTGCACGGCCGGGTAGTGGGCCAGGGCCGGGGGGGGGGCGGGGCGCCTGTGTCCCTCCCAGGGATGCTCACCCACCTCTCTCTCCTGCGGAAGGCTTTCGACCACATCCTCTCAGCCATCGAGGACATATCGGGGCAAATTGGACACAACTACCTCCGCGATAAGTACGTGGCCGCAGGTGCCCCTGGCTGGGCTGAAATGGGGACATTTGGAGGCGCGTCTCTCCACTGTCAGCTTCCCTCCCTCTGCCTTTCATGGGAGGGCCACAGGGTAGAAAGAGCCGCTGATCTTCCCCGTAACCGTAAAGCAGCCTCGTAGAGCGCTCACTAACTGAAGAACTCTGCCTTCAGCAGGAGCCAGGAAGTCACTTGCCTAACTGTCCGAGACTCCCACCCCTCGGGATTCCTGTTCCCCCTGAACTCCCTCCTCTCCCTGGGACTGCCCCTCCCCCGGTCCCCCTACTGCCCCTGGAATCTCTCTTCCTGGACACTCTCCTCTAGGAGACCCCCTCCCTCTGGACCCCGTCCTTCCTCTGGGACCCCTCCTCTCCCAGGACCCCCCTGGGGACCCTCTGCCTCTGGGACCCCTCTCCCTCAAGAGCCCGTCATCCTGGAGCCCCTCCTTCCCCTGGGGCGCCCCTCCCCCCAGGACTCCCCCAGGCTCCTCCTCCCAGTGGATCCCTCTCTTCCCCCTTCCCCACCCCCTCTTCTGACCCACAGGACCGGCCATATCCTAACTGGGTTGGATGTAAAGCCTCCTTCCCACCAGCCTGGGTCTCTCCTAGTGTGGGGGCTCAGGGCTTCCTCCTCCCCCAGCCCATGCCTCTGCAGGCAAAATGTGTGCCCCCTTCTCTGTAGCCAGGCTCCCGGGGCCCTGCCCTCACCCGGCCTGGGCCTTTCCAGAAGGCCAGGTAATCAGTTGGAAAGCTTAGCAATGTTGTATTAAATGAGAAAACAGAATCCAGAATCGGACGTACATTCTCGTGGCACATGCCTTCAGATAGGAAGGGAGGACCAGAGCACAGATGGAGAAATAACACCCCTGAGGGTTATTCCTTTTATTTTAAAAGTCACCTTTGTGAGTTTACTTGTTACAGTAAGTGAAAATCAGGGTTGGTGTGGGGGGGGTTGTATCCTGTGTCTCAGTCCCTGGGAGACCATGTCCCTGCGAGTCTGGACAGTGGGAGGGGGCACGCCCCCCACATGCTGCCAGGGTCCTCGTCCTTCCTGGGGCCTTGCCCACAGCCAATCCAAGTGTTGACATCGTGTTGGTTTGCCCCCCCCAGGTGGTCCAATTTTGATAGGAAATTCCTCAGCAAAATCCTCATGAGACGGTCGGCACAGAAGTCTCGAGATCGGATCCTGAATGTTTTCCACGAGCTCAACTTGAAAGACGCTATCAGCTATGTGGCTGAGGTACCGGAACATTCCGTCTGCTCTCCTGTCGGAGTTGGTGGCTGAAACAACACCCAGCCGTGGGGTGTGGACAGCCACTGGGGTCTGGGGCAGCGGGCCAGGGAGGGAAGGTCCTGCACCCCAAGGCCCAGGCAGGAGCGCGCTGGGACTGCCACAAGTTCACCACGTGAAGCTCCTGGGTCCTCCAACACCCGAGGACAGCCGTGGGAGCTGAGGCCTCCCTGCGGCTCTTGAGACGCTCCGTGGTCTGGTGGGTCTGAGACGGAAAACAAGCAGGGCGTACGGAGTCGTGCCCCTCGACATGTAGGTGCACACACGTTCACGCATGTCCACGCACGCACAGCCATGGACACGGAGAAAGCAAGAAGGAGGTCGTGCATCCTGTGGGGTCACAGGGGACACACCTGCGAACAGGCTGTGGTTCTAAGGCCCCTGCAGGTGAGCACAGACAGAACACCTGCCTTCTGTAGGTAAACGAATCCACCTCACGTGTTTGGGATTGAGGGGCCAGAGGGGTCTCCCCACAAAGCAGCAGCCAGCGCATGCAGCGTGGAGTCAGTGAGGGGCTCGGGGAGCCTACGGCCGATGAGGGACCAGCCCTACTCTGCGGGCTGCACGGTGACTCTCTGGACCTCACTGTCTCGGAGGCTGCACCAGCCCACAGCCACTCAGTCAGGACTCGGAAGGCGTCCTAGCAGGTGTCAGGACTCCTCCTGGGACACACAGTCCAGCTGGCCCCTCCCCAGGGGCCACACACCTCCAGGCAGTGCACACATGTGACAGTGACTTGCCCTTTGCCTTGATCAGCCGGCTGCCTTTGCCCCATATGTATGCCCTGGGCCCCGAGGTCACCTGGCGCCTCACTAGCCTGGGCCTACTCAGCCTGGGGAGCTAGGGATTTGCACGTCCATCCCAGCAAACCTCACGGACCTCATCCAGGGGGCACAGCCAGGGCCCTGGAAGCATCTGTTCCTTCAAAGGGGAGCGTGAGTCCTGTCTCCAGTGGGCTTGTCCACACCAAACGTACAGCCTGATGCCCCAACACAACCAGGGGTCCCTCCAAGACAGACAGACGCAGGGGAAGGGGCCTCTATACCATCGGCCAAGCTAATGTCAGCATGCTCCCCCTGGAGCCCCAACCCACAAGCCCCAGGCACTGGGAGGGACGAGGTCCTCTGCTGTCTGCACCTCTGGCCCTGGGCTGGGCGGTGCTGTGCTCAGATCTCTGCCCTTTGGCTCTGCAGAGGCTTCTGTGTCCTCTGAGCCTGGATGGACGGGCAGGGGGGCTGTCCTGCCAGTGCGCACAGTGACGTCCCCTTCTGCTGGCGAGCCCTGTCTCTTGTGGGCGCCCTGATGCCCCTCCCCCACATGAGATGCAGGCTGCGGGCAGTGTCCCCATCGCGCAGCACACTGACTGCCCCCCCTCCAACGACATGGGCTCCTCCCTGCTCAGGACTGGCTCTGCCTACAGCCAGGATGGCATGTGCTCCTGGGCTGGACCTCTGGGCCTCCTGCCCCGCCACATCGGGCCCTGACCCTGGTGCCCTCCCAGCCCCACGCCCACCCCTGAGGAGTCCCTGCTCTCTTCCAGTGGCCCCTTTGGCCCCATACTCCCACCCAAGGAGAGTGGCTGTTTTCAACTTTCGTTCATGTTGGGCTTGGCTCTATGTGACCTTAGTCTCATTCAGTTCTGGACAGAGGCCTGGGGGGGTTCCCCTCTCAGGGCAGCCGGGTGGGAGTCCCCAATGGGGACAGGGGACACCTCTCCAGTCTGGGGGGAGCGGCAATGTTTCCTGATGCCCTATGCCTACTGAGGATCTGGGATGAAGGACCCATGGTCCTGTCTTCATTTTCCCCTTCCACCCACCAGCTGCCAACTCAGCATGGCTTTACCAGCTCTCCAAGGGCCAGCGGTCGCCCAGCATCAAGGCACTCCACGGTGCGGGCTGATCAGCTCTGTCTTCCCCACAGGGAGAGCGCCGTGGGTCCCTGGCTTTCATCCGTTCCCCCAGCACCGACAACATGGTCAACGTGGACTTCAGCACACCACGGCCCTCAACCGTGGAGGCCTCTGTCTCCTACCTCCTGTACGTGCTCCTATTCCCCTGGGGTTCCGCCAGAGGAGGCCCCCCCCCCCGCCTGGCCCCTTCCGCCATGACCCGGGAGGCTGCTCTGGGCAGGGGTCTCACCTGACCCGCACATCCCAGGCCCTCCTGGTCACAGGCAGCAGGGCCCCTGTGGACAGTCAGTAGCCTGTGGGCCTCTGGGGGCCCCTGAGAGTCATAAGCTGGTGGAGTCGAGGCCCCGGACTGGACCCCAGGATCTAGGTGTTTCCTGCTACAAATGCACCTGTAGGAAATGTCAGCATCCGCCTGATGGGAGACAGAGAGGAGAGGGTGCTGGCAGGACCAGACAGAGATCTGGGGCTGAGGCCTCACCCTGGCCACCCCTCCCTCCGAGGGGCCCAGGCCATGGGCCTCCTGCTCTGTCATGCTGCACAGCGGGGGCTGGGCCAGCTGGGGGAGGCGTGCGGAGGGCAGGGGGCACTGGGTATGTGTGGGGCAGGCTCCCGCGGGGTCAGTCCCAGGACCAGCCTCCTGGGGTTGGTGGCGCCCAGGCTCAGGGGTCAAGGGCAGAGCAGGTGGGCGATCACGGCGGCCCCCATGCAGGAGGGAGAACGTGAGTGCGGTGTGCCTGGACATGCAGTCGCTGGAACAGAGGAGGAGGAGCATCCGTGACACGGAGGACACGGTCGCGCACCACACCCTGCAGCAGTACCTGTACAAGCCTCGGCAGGAGGTGGGCGCGCGGGGTGGGTGGGGGGGTACAGAGCCCGGGCCCTCCTCCTCCGGGACGGCCTCAAGGGCTGGCAGGAGGCAGGGGCTCAGCCTCACCACCGGGTGCCTGGGTGCTCTCGCCCCTGCATCCATCTGGCTGGGGACGCTAGTGGGGCCATGAGGCTGGGAGCAGCCCATGCGAGGTTTCCCTACTGTGACCGTCCGGCGGCCTCTCCTCCAGTACAAGCATCTCTACAGTCGGCACGAGCTGACCCCAAACGAAGATGAGAAGCAGGACAAGGAGATCTTCCACAGGACCATGCGGAAGCGCCTGGAGTCCTTCAAGTCCGCCAAGCTGGGCGTCAACCCGAACAAGAAGGCGGCAAAGCTCTACAAGAGGGAGCGCGCCCAGAAACGGGTGAGGGCAGGGGGCGCGCGGCTGTTGGCAGAGGGACTTGGGGTGCCCTGGGGCTTGGGGTCACCCCAGGGTGCCCCCAGGGACAGGCCCGGTGGGCGCTCTGCACTGGAACCACTCATAGGGCAGGACGGGCCCCGGAGGGCTCCAGGCAGCGCAGCAGGGGCTCGTCTGGGACCGGCTGGGGCCTGGGTGTCGCTGTGCCCCTTTAACAGTTTCCTTTTGTTTCTCAGAGAAACAGCAGCATTCCCAATGGGAAACTGCCCCTGGAGAGCCCCATGAACAATTTCACCATTAAGGAGAAAGGTACTGGGGGGAGCACAGTGGAGTGCTCACCAGCAGGGCCCAGAGACACAGGCGATGGGGCAGGAGGGAGCCAGAGTGCTGTCCTGCCAGACACCCTTCCCCCTGGCAGCCAGGACCCTCCATGGGGTCCTCCGGTCCCACCCTGGGCAGGGGGCTGCTGCAGGAGGAGCGGGGACTGCAGGGCTGGACACGCACCCTGGCTCCCGTGTCGGAGGGGGGCGGGGGAGACCAGCCGCGGCAGCTTCGCTCTGCCCGCCCTGTGCTGACATGGCCGTCCGGGCACTGCCAGCCAGCAAGCGGCCCAGAAGAGGGTAGGGAGCACTGTGTGTGTGATGACATTGTGGCCTGGTGACAGCCCTCGGGGTACTCTGCAAGGTAGTCAGGGGCAGGACACTGGTGGCTGTGTGCCCAGTCCCCTTCCCTCATGCTGCCCTCCCTTGCCACCAGATTTGGAACTTTCAGACCCGGAGGAGGCCCCGGACTATGGTGGTGAAATGGGTGGGGGGATCGAGTTCCTGGCAAACATCACACAAGACACCACGGCCACAGACTCCCCGTCAGGTGAGGGGTGGGGTCAGCCCTCCTTGGGCCACAGATGTGAGCATGGTCATTGGTCGCTGATGGGCACCGCGGGACCTGGGAGGCCTAGTGCTGGGTCCATGTGGGTGTGAGTTCTGGGGGGGTGGGGCGCAGGGTCTCTGCTCCAGAGAAGGGAGCGATTGAGTGTCCTGCCTGCTGCGCAGAGAGAGACAGAATGGGGTGCAAGGCCTGGAGCCCCAGAGACCTTCCAGGTGACCTTCCGGGTGTCGGGGGCAGGACCAGCTGACGTCGGACACCGAGGGCAGCGCCCTCCCTCCTTGCCGTCCCAGGTTCAGCTGGGAATCTGATCAGCTGCTGCCCTTTCTCCTAGGAATTGACAACCCTGTGTTCTCCCCGGATGAGGACCTGAGCATCCTCTCCAGGGTGCCACCCTGGCTGTCCCCTGGGGAGACGGTGGTGCCCTCCCAGAGGGCGCGTGTGCAGATCCCCTGCTCTCCAGGCAACTTCCGCCGCCTGGCGCCCTTCCGCCTCAGCAACAAGTCCGTGGACTCCTTTCTGCAGGCTGATGGCCCCGAGGAGCAGCCCCACATGACCCACCCTGAGTTCACGCACATGTAACTCCTGACCCTGCCCACCCACCTGACACCTGCTCTCTCCTCAGCTCCTCCCCTAGCCAGCTGCCTCTCTGGCTCTGGACCTGAACTTCTGCAGACTCTCTAGCAACTCTTACTCCTTCTCAACCTCTTTTCCAGCCGCGCATTCCCTAGGACGTCGGTCTGAGTCACAGCCTGTCCCTGAGATGTCGGGACCCAGGCTTTTTGAGGATCTCTTTAGCCCCTGTGCTAAGCCCGTGAATCTAAGTCTTGAGCTCAGAGGGAACTGAGCACAGGGCTGGGTGGGGGCTGCATGGGAAGGGGAACAACTGTTTCTGTCCCTAAAAGCCCTGGGGCTTTGTGAAAAGTCCATGTGACAGAAGTGAGTCCAGAAGAGCAACAGGTCCCTCTCAACCTCATACAGAGAGGAGCTCAGAGCAAGGGTACAGGGAAGTGGAGGGCAGGCCAGTAGCCAGCCAAGCAGGCCAGCGCCTCTCTCAGGAGAGAAGTCAGGGGTTGGGGGTGGGGGCGAGGGGGTAAGGCAGGGGTAGAGGCAGGGGGTAGTGAGGGGCAAGGCAGGGTTGGGAGGTAGCGGGGAGGCACCTGTTTGGCAGGGGCTTCCAGGCCTTCTTGCTGGGTCCCTAGAAGCTGCTGTCCCCACTTTACCTTCCGTAGGGAAGACGGTTCACACCTTTGTGCAAGGTTTTGGGTTCATTTCACGTTTCCTTTGGGTGTTTGGGTGCACTTGGGAGGAAACAGGAAGCAGACCCTACCCCTAGCCCAGGAGGGGCTCTCACAAAGGCGCTTTCCCATGCATTTCAACCGAAGCAGGACCTCCTTGTTCTTCTCTCCTGTGGTTGCTTGGAGAGGGTGTCCACAGTCCGGCTCAGGAGAGGCGGTCCAGGCCTGCAGGGTGGGCTGCCTGGGGCGGCACTCTCTTTCTGCATGAAGCCGACTTTCTCGGGATGTTCCAGGGACTGAAAAAGGAAACACCTGTGGGCGGGGCTTCTGTCTGGTGCTTCCCCTGCTCCTCTGCCTCTTCCTGGCTTCTGCCTCTGAACCCCCTAACCTACTCTTCCTTGAACCTCCTTGAACCTCGAACCACTCTCTTCTTTGAACCCTGCTTGTCCTAGAGCGGGGCACTCTGAGTCTGGAGAGGCCCTGTGGCCATGACCATTCCTGCGCAGGGGGGCTGTATCCCGGGGGCCTGACACAGAGCAGCAGCCTGTGGTAGGGGAGCCCGTCGGGGGGGCGGTGCTGCAGAGGCAGGTCTTCAGCTGACCCTGTCACTGTGGACCTTGCTGGCCACACGGCCAGGGCATGGCCTCTGAGTGTCCCGCAGCATTCCAGGTAGTGGGGGCGGGGCGCAGGCTGGGTGTGTTGGGCCCCCTCCAGGCTGCGAGGCCGCCCTGGAAGATTAGCGGGAAGGTTCCAGGGCCTGGACTGTCCCTGTGAGTCCTGTACCTGCGCAGGGGCGGTGGTGGTCTCCAGAGGCGGGGCCGCCAGCAGTCACCTGGGAAGGCCAATATGCCCCGGCCCGCAGGCTGCTCAGGCTTTTGGCCAACCCCGGAAGTCATGACCTCCGTGCGGTTTGTGCGGAAGGCCTGACAGTCCGGCTTGGCCCGGGAGCCTCACCAGCGCCGCCGCCTGGGTCTCCCCTGCACCCCGGGCCCCCCGCCAGGTGCCCTCTGCGCTCACGCCGTCCTCTCCCGCAGGTGACACGGGCTCCGACGTGCCGCTGACCGGACGCTCGTCCCCTCCCGCCGCCGAGAAGCCCCCGCTCCCCGCGCGGTCCCCGCGCCCGCGCGCCCTGAGCCCGGCCCCGCCCGCCGGCGGCCCGCCCGCCGAGGCCCCGCCCACCGGCGCCCCGCC